TGTAAAAATATAAAATAAAGTAATTCATTTATATAGGTACCTAAAAAGGCAGCAATATTTTATTTATTTTTTTTTTTTTGCTTACATCAGTACAATAACTAAATCCAGCACTGATAATAATAATAATTATAGTAATGTAATAAACATAATATGACGAAATACACATAAAAAAAAATTCATATACGTTCACTAATTTATCAAATAAACAATTTAATTTTAAATTTTAATTGCTTAAAGACAAACATAACTAAAGTTTATAAAATATATTTTTTTCATAACAGTATCTGAATACCTGGATAATCTGTCATATAAGCACTGCAGAATACGCTGCATGTAATTATATGAAACTTAAACCCAAAGCTATTTTAATATAGACTACTGTATAGGCTTCCCGTTAATTTTATTCCAAAAACCATATGCAAATATTTAAACAATATATTACTACAAAAATACATTTATATATGTTATTTGTAGAAACTTAAATGCATGGCAATATTTATAGTGTCTTAATAAGTTAATGTGATACATGTATTGATCAAAGGAAAATATACGATTTATCGATTTACTTTCTTTAATAATAAATAAACAATAGGTTGCGTTCAGCTAAAGAGACATACTAAATGATTTAAACACCCGAAAAAATATTTGAATATCATGAAATAAATATTTATTATCAATATAATTTACACAAATTAAATAAGTAATGAAAATAAATTATAATAAAAATGTATTTTTATATTTATTTTTTTTTGTTTTTTATGTGTTAGTACTTAATATCGATAAAATATAATTTAAATGTATACAAAATGTGTAAATACACGTGCCTCGACTATGACTTATTGTTTTTAAAAACAGTTTTAAGTCGAATTTTAAAACCATTGATCCATTAATATATAACGACAAAAACACCATTGCCAATATGATATCCAAAATCAGGAACGGGTAGGAACTCATAGAAGAAGAACCATTAACATAAAATCATAAATGATTGTTAAAAATAGAAATATTTTATTAACTATCTATTTATTATATTTTTATTACATAGCATGCATTTTAATATAATTTAATACCTCAATACCATTTATAAAGAATAATATTAATGTATTTTTCCAGATGTTGGGCTTTTAATAAAATATAAACATATGTGCAATATGTATAGATTTAACTGGCATATCACGTTTTTTGGGATTCTTTATAGTTTGATACGGGTAATCTGTAAAGTAAACGCATGAGTAGAGAGTATCATATATGAAAAATTAATGGTTCCGCTATATTATATCTTACAGCGCAATGTCATGAACATAAAGGCATTCAGTTTGAACTGTTAAATAGATAAATGTTGAAGGTTAGTCAAGAATCGAGTATATCTAACTGAATTTTGGTGGTAAAATAAAATTTTTCATGAAAAAATTCATATAAAACTCCAATATACCATTTTAAAATATTTAAATTTTATCTTATTCTCAAACAATTCATAAATAAATAAATATTAATTTTGTTATATTTATATATATATATATATATATATATATATATATATATATGATATAAATATTTATTGTTTATTGTAAAAAGTACCAAAAACAGGTGTATGGGTTACAAATTAAAGATTTTTCAAGTTCCAAATACATTAGGTTGTGTACACTAGGAAAACTAAGAGTGAATTTTAAAACTATGTTGTTCAAAATATATAAGCTAACAATGCTTCACGGTACAACTTTTTTTAACTCATCTGTGCGTATAATTTAATGTGCACCGACCAAAGTAAAAGTGTATATTAAGACTTATTATCTCGTTAAGGTAATTTCGAGAATGTTCTAGACAATCGACGCCGATATATATATATATATACCGGCTGGTCAGACGCTCAGTCAGTCAGTCCGTGAGTACAATCCGCGATATATTCGGCAATTCCTCCGCAATTGTAACGCGTATCGATATTTGTACATACATATTTATATAATATAGTGTCTATTTTAATTAAATTAAATTGTGAGTGATTTTTATTACGTAAATCCCACACTATAATACATATAATATTTGTAATTTTTTTTTTCGATTTTAGCCAACTCATACAACGGGAAATATTAATGCCTCCTATTATCTATAATTAACGCATTGTTTCAATTTTTATATTTCTTATACTTAGAATACAGATAATATAAATAAAATAAAAATAAACCTCTAGTCAGATGTACATACAGTAACAATATAGACATGTTATTCAACATTGTAAAACTAAAACAGTAGGAAATCCATTTTATATGACATTGTCAACATGCGGCGACCTGGCACGGCAGTAAGCAACTACAAAATTATTATAGCATACAATTATTTTTAGTCTGTACTTTAATTCGGTAATCAAAGTGATTTGTTTTATGTGATTTATATTTTGTGGCTTTTTTGTGCGGTATTATGTAAGACTGTGTACCTATTGTGACTTGTGACTCGTGTAGTCGTTTAATATGTGCAAATGTTACAATATGCCTCCTTACAACAGTAGCCAGTATCAACTTTGTTTCCTAATTAAAATTAAATTTTAAATTAAAAATATTTATTTCATTAAATCATAATATTTCACAATATTACCAATATTACTAAATAGTTAACAAATTCTTACTATGTCTTATTCTTCTTCATACGGCCCTAATACTCTTTAAGAGTTTTCACCGCCATAACTAAATCACTCCATTTGTCTCTGTCCTGGGCTAACTCTTTCCAATTTTGGACTCCCATTCTGTGCAGGTCCTCTTCCACTCCATCTAACCATCTTTTTCTTGGTCGTCCTCGAGGTCTTTTTCCCGTAGGCTTCCATTCCAGGATTACTCTATTTATATCATCTTCGCTACGCCGCCACATGTGGCCCAGCCATTGAATCCTTTGTCCCTTCATAAAGCTTACTACTGATGCCATTTCCATTTCTTCTTGCAACTCTTTATTATATTTTCTCCTCCGTGATCATTTTTCATTATCATACACTGGTCCACATATTACCCTCTATATTTTGTTCTCAAAAGTTCTTAGTTTTCTTTCGGTATTGCTTGTGGTAGTCCATGCCTCGCACCCATATGTGATGTGAGTATGGGTCTTATTATTGCTGTGTACAGTCTTGCTTTCGTTTTTTTTGGAGAATACTTTTGACTTTAAAAACTTATTCAGAGCGAGAGCTTCTCTTTCTGCTTTAACTAACCTTACACCTATTTCACTAGCCCAATCATTGTTTTTACTCAATATTGCACCTAAGTACCGAAACTCATTGGTTCAGCTCCATAATGTGTTTCCCTAATCGTAACATTGTCTGGGCTATCTGCATTTAATAGTTCAATAAAATATTCTTTCTACCTTGCCACTTTTTTTTTAGAATCCATGATTACATCATTGTTACGATTTCTGATGATTTTCAGGCTTGGGTTGAAAGACTTGTACTGTTTTATCGTCCTGAAAAAGTGTCTGGCCTTACCCTGTGAGTGATTATTCTCCGCTTCTTTTAATATCTCATTGAGATACTTCCTCTTCTCTCTCTGAATGATTCGTTTACAGTTTTTCTTCTCTAAAGTATAAAGCTCTCTTGTGATTATATTGTTTGTACTGTCTACGCTGATGAATTTTTCTCGGGCTATCCGTCGTCTTTCTACTGCTTGTCGGCATTCTTCGTTATACCATTTTTTTCTTTGAACATTTCATTTTCCCTATGTGTCTTACTATGAGTTGGAATAAAATGACTTAACCTTACTCAAAGAAATATTTACAATATATAATATAGTATAAAATCTATTATTCTATAGATTCATAAATAGGCTGATATATATATTTATAATTCTTTTTTTTAACTATTCATAATACCTTCTATTTTTATTAAATAATTACAATTTAAACAAGAATAAATAATTTATTTCGTACTATTTTTTTAAATAAATCTTTAATAATTAGAATTATTCAAAATTAATCGATTTTAGAACCATTACTTTTTTTTGCCACATTTCTTGCCATTAATCAAACTATACCCGAATAATACGAAACAATGAAAATCAAAAATGTGTAAATCTGCGTTTTCTATTTCGTGCACCACTTTAACGTTCGAACACAACTAGTATTTAAATATAGTATGAGTGTATGGTAAATCAATGGCATGATGTTAACTATAAAATATCAAGAAGTTTTACATTATTGATAAGATAAACGTTTCAATCAAAATTTTATCGACGTATGTATGTATTAATCAGGTTTTTTTTTCAATATTAAAAGGTATGAGAAGCCAGAAAAAGAGCATATTATGCCGGATTACGTATTTATGGGAGCTTATTAAACGTGTTTTTCAATGTTAAAAGATATACGAGTACCAGGGACCAGAAGCAATTCATGTATTAAGAAGAATGGCGTATTAAGCGGAAGCGTATTAATGAGGTATTACTGTATATATATATATATATATATATGTTACAGTCTAAGTATTGAATCAGTTAGTTTATGAAATCACTAGATAATTTATGTAATAAATAAAACGTTTTTATAATGTATATAATTTATACTTTAACTAGTTATTTTATACATTGCCAGACATCACTTCGTTAATGTGTCAAATTGATACATTCATACATGTACAATATCGTTATTTTACTGTCCATTATAGCAATAAATCAGATAAAACTGATCTTTTTGTTGTTGGAGACTGCAGTGTTCATGTATGTTTATCGTGTAAGATAAAATTATAATTGTACATTTATTATTATTAAGATTATCAATAAAATTGGTAAGGTTCAAAGTTTAGTAATAGTCTTACAGTTACACGCGTTCAATGTTGGTTCGTCTGTTTCTACAATAGCCTTGTATGTACAAATAAATAATTAATTAAATTTAAAATAAATAAAACATTATAATATATTTTAGATTTTAATGAATTTTATACTTAAACACATCAAATTAAAATTGTTTAGAATAACTATGATAGATATTCTATGACATAATTAGTTAAAGTATAAGTGTAATGTATGATTTCATACTTTAAATCAGGGACCGAAACCTTGATGAATTGTACGGTTCCAGTTTCGGTTCGGTTCCTAAAAAAAAAAAAAATCGGTTCCGGTTTTGATGACGATTCTAAAATAACTAAACTAATTTATTAAATTAATAAAATTTTTTAAATAAAATAATATTGTTGTTTTATATTAGACATTATATTTGTGTATGAGTGTATAAAGTACATTGCTACAGTTATAAACTAATAGAATAATGTATTCTAAATATTTTTCAACTATAGATTAAAATAATTAATTGTTTATGTAAATTTATTCTTTAGAGTGTTCAGTAATGAAAATAAAACTGAAACTGATCACACAGTTGATAAAATTGATGCCACAGAAATAGTAGAAATAGATATTGATCCAACAAACATTGAAATGATAGAATTAACAAATGTTTTGGAATCACCAAACATAGAAAAGTCTTTAGATTTCTCATTGCTTCCCCATCAAAGATGAGCAGCACACACCTTAAATTTGATTGTTGTGAACGATATACGTGAAACTGAAAAGGATGTTACATATAGACTTATAAGTAAGAGAGTGTTTGGGAAGTGTCAAAAACTGTTTAACAAACAAAATCAGTCAACGCTTTATGCTGATTAAATAAAAAAAATACCTAGGTCGATATCTTATTACACCTAATTCAACAAGGTTATTACTTATTAATTATAAATTAGAATTTTTTTGTTTTGAATAAAAGTATTTAAAAATTAAAGATGTACAAATAATTGTCTTAATTGTATTATTATTTTATTGTATGTCTAGGTGGAAATCTTACTATGATGCCATAAAATGTATTGTGAATCATATAGAAAAAATTGAAATGATCTGTATTGAGCTGCAATTGCCAATTATTTCAAAATCTTGTGAAGTTGCGTTAAATGAATATTGCAAAGTAAATGAGAAATTTAATCTATTAATTTAGTAATTTTTACATAGTTATTACAATATCATTTTTTATAACATGAATTTTATTGTTTTCCGAATAATATTAGGTTATGAAACCTATATCTCAGGCCTTGAATATACTACAGGGAGAAAAATATGTGTTATTAGGGTACCTGCTCTCCACAATAAGTGTAATAAATAAATCATTAAACGAGATGAACAATTTATATTTTTGTAGACCGCTAGTTAATGCATTAAATAAAGGTACAGATAAAAGGTAATTAATTTTAATTGTGAATATGAAATATATATATATCCATCCATGACTTCAAAATATTTAAATATTCAAATATGTCATCTAATTATGCGAAAAAAATTTACTTTTAGTGTATTATTATTTTGTAAATTGCTATTATATTTTATAGATTTCAAAGATATACTGAATCTCAATCATGTCAATTGGCACCTTGTTTAATATCCAAATTTAAACTTCACTGGACAGATCCAGATAAGAGAAATGATATTAAAGAAGCATTATATGGATATGTTAGTGAACAAAGTGTTGAAAATTCACAAGAAAGTAATCTAACAGATTCAGCATTTCAAAATATTGATACTTTTTCTGATGACAATGCTGAGGATGATTTTTTTAGTTTTAATGAAACTGTAATACCAAATAATGATAATGTTATTAAAACTATCATAAATGATTATTTTACAAATAATAATATAAAAAATGTTAATGTTAATATAACCTAACCACAAATTCTCAAAAAGCCATATTTAGAGTTTAATACTGCAGTCCATCATCTGATCATGTAGAACGCTTGTTCAGTGCTGGGAGACAGTTGTTCGAGAAAAGAAGAGCATCGATAGCAGGTAAACATTTTGAAATGACCCTCCTCTTAAAGTTCAATGAAGTTAAATAACAGTTTTAATTATTATTATATATTTTAGTATATATTTATTATTATTTCGAATGAATTGTTTTTTCAACTATCAACATATAAATATATGTTATGCAAAAGTAAAAATTTAATTTGATTTAACAAAATAAAGAAAATTAATTTTAATATTAAGATTAATGCTACCTATTTAAGTTTAAATTTATAGTTTAACTATATCTATATCACTAAAATGTGTATGCTAAAATAATAAAATATTATCCAACTATTTCAACTTATTTATTATCTTTTTGTTTAAAATATATATATTATATTTTAGTATTTTACTAAGTAGGTATGTAAAACCTAGTACCTATCTATTTAATAAAATATTTAGTGATTATTTAATAAACACAGTAATACTCCATTTCAAACGTACACACACAAATAGTATCTGTTTGCAAGGCTTGATTAAATAATAATAATTCATTATTTTTACGTATTTATTACTTATTAGTTATTATATAAAGGTAACTACTGTTCTTTTTTTTTAAAAATGAAAACTTCAATGAAGTACAATAATATACTGTATAAAATATAAACATTTGTTCTAGTCATGGTCCAAAAATTAGTTTTGGGTTTCAGGGTTTGTAAAAATATAAAGTATGCGTAAAAAAAATTAACTTTTTTTTTAACTTAATAAAAAGTTTAAAAAAATGTGTATTAACTTTTAAATTAACTGAGTTAACCTATAATCAAATTAACTTTTAACTTTTTATTATTGGTGCATATTAACTTAACTTAACTGAGTTAAAAAAAAATTATTAACTTGCCCAGCCTTGTAAATAACATTCGTAAGTAATTTATGAACTACCTAGTTATTTCATAAAATAAAGGAATTCAATACTTTAACATATAAATCCCAAAATATGTGTAATTTAATTATTTATTTTTGGGTGTTTTTTTTTTTAACCAACTTCAAGTAAACTTGAGTCCCTTGAAATTTATCGAAAAAGAATTATATAATAACAACAAAAATAATAAAATCTGTTTATCTAGTTATTAATTACCATTAGTTATACTATGGTCACTAGTTATACTACTAACTTACTAGCAGGTATCCCCCCCACCACCAGTTCAACGTCTGATATCCTCTAGAATTGAACGCGGTAAACAATAAAGAGACATAAGGCACCCTATGTACGGCCAAAATGACCCCACTTCCCGTCTGAAATCAAGAAAGTCTTTCCTAAAGGTTAGAAGGTTAAAGCTTAGTACTGAAGAGCTAACGGAAACACCCTTACTAAAGAGGATATGTGAGTGGAAAAAACTGATAACGGACATCAACAGTAAAAGATGGATGGAACCATCAGAAAGACTACCTCCCAGTAACAACCTAGAATGGCTAGTATGGAAGACACTGAACAGACTGCATGTTGGTGTAGGACGGACAAAAGAAAATATGAGAAAATGGGGATATGGAGATCAAGACATAAATTGCATATGTGGACAAGAGCAGAAAACGTTACACCTACTTGTTTGCCCACGAGGGCCAAGCCCATGTACACAAGAGGATCTTATGATAAGCAACAAGAAGGCGATAAATACAGCCATATACTGGACAAAAGAAAAAATATAATTATTATGCAATGAAGACATGCAATACTTGTTACCATCATTTTAGTGTGTTACTATTATTTGTATTTTACTTATTTGTTATTAATTATTTAGTTTTGTTTTATAAATTACACGTTTATTTTAATTTTAAATATATGATGCCTGACACGAGAAAAAAAAATGAATAAATATATTATGAACATATTTTTTTGGGCAATTAAAGTAAAAACATGCGACGAATGTTTTGACCATTAATGAAATCAATAATTTATTTAATATTAATACAAATTAAATTAAATATCACAACAAAAATATATCAACATATCTGTTGTAAAAATGTATATCATACATACAATAATATGTAACTAATTAAATTAACTTGGTAAATCTAGGGAATACATTTTAAAAAAGATTTCCAAGTTTTTAATATTTTTTTTTTTATCTATCAAATCACTTCTGAGAAGAACTTTTGAGACTCATCTTTCAAGTGTTATATTCGGAACTTTATATATATATATATATATATGTTTTTATTGATGCCTTGGGAACTTTTACGACAACCTGCAACCTGAGCCATACTTAACATAGAACTACTTTGAAACTTTGTTTGCTATTGTTTTTAAAAATTGTATAGAGTAATACTTAAAACTGTATTCAAAAATCGTTACGAAAGAATAAAGTATATTGAATATAAAATGTAATTAAAATAAAAATATCTAATAAATTATTAATTATTAATTTATGATAGTTAATAAGCTTCAAATTCTAATCATTATTTTTCATAGTTAAAAAATTAAAATAATTTAAGTAATATATAATTAAAAAAGGCTGTACCATTAGTAAAATTAATTAGATTGAAGTATAGAAAACACATGATCCGCAACAGGAACACTTACAATAAACGAATTTGCATGAATTCCATGTATTCTTTTAACTTTATTTATTTGTTTTAAGCAAACAGAAATAAGTTTAAACAAGTTCAAGTGACATAATTCATTTCGTGCTATAAATTTCGACAGTTAAACATTATATACAAGCATTAAATTAAACCATAAAAACCGTTAAAAAGTGAATAGCGTCTATAAAAATAACTTAGTATGAGACTGCACTTCTTAACATACTTTATTTTGGACATTTAACCCATACTAACGTATGTAAAAATAGAAAAATAATCATTTTCCGCCACATAATATAAATCATTGTACATGCAAATACATATATATATAATACTATTAAACATCTCATAATTATTCATAATCATTGAAAATTACGTAGAATAAAAATGAGCATATATTATATACAATTTACAATGTTTTGATATATACTATGTATTATTATTAAAATCTCAAGGTCAGTTTTAAAGCTTAAAATAGAAGCACTATAGTCATTGGGTATCTATTACACTAATATCAATACTGACAATATAATGGTGGTTTTCATAAAGTATCTCTTATAAAATAAGTAACTTTGGTTTCAAATGTATTCTAACAGATGAAAAATGCATTTGTATATAAAAAAAAAAAAAAAAAAAAACTAAAAATTATAAATCAAAAACAGATTATAAATTGACTATTTTTATAAGATATTCTTAATTTTCCTTATTTAAAATTAAATTCATGGAAAATATTTCTACTGGGAATTAAAAAGATTATTTTGCATAATATGTATAAAGATAACCAAAACGATTATAATTAATATCGATATTTTTTGTAACTGAGAGATTATAAAGGTGTATAACATACAAAGGTTTTAATTATTTAACATAAATAGTGTGTTTGGGTCATTTGAAATAAATTAACCATACAAAAATGAAAAAAATAAACAGGATTATACTTTACGGTTTATATACTTTATATTGACAATTATAAATTTAAATTCAAACTTCTTGCTTAAACATAGTGAAAAGTATATACAACTTTCAAATATAAATTTTTAAAATAAAACAACTCAAGTGATATTGGTTATATCAGAAGTTTACATCTATACAAAAATTAAACATTGACAGAAGTTAATATTTTTTAATAGTGTTAAAATAGTATAGATCGCTAGTTAATAATAAAATGTATATTTTCATTAAAATAAGTTAAAATATGTATATATTTGCTGATGAAAGAAAGCTAGTTAGATTAATTAATTAAGAGTATTAAAATGAGTATTAAAAATCACCAACAAACAAAATAAAGTCCAACTGTCATTATACTAATAATCAACGATTCTCGTGTAGTTAGTAATTAACTAATAATCATAAAATACCAAATTAAGTTTGTCATAAATTATTTTTGACGATTTGTAATTTATTATCTATTAAATGTAGTTGAAATATATATATTATACATTAATATATGATATTTTAAAATTTAACTTTAAATGTTTCATACTCAATTAGAGTCAATTATTACAAAGTTTAAAATAATATATTATGTTTACTCATATTTTATTTGTTTTATTTTTATTTTTATTTAAATACAATTAAAAAAGAATAATTGTAAATAAAGTAAACTTAATAAAATATAATATATTGTATTCTACGATGTAAACGATTGTAATTTTATTAAATTAATAGGATATTTGGTTTTCAAAAAAGTGTGTAGTAAAAATAAAAAAACGAATTTAGTTTTCAAGAACTTCTAAAATGTTTTGATGAACTTTGAAAATTAGGATTCATTTTTTAAGACTAAATATTTTTTCCATAAATCATCTGAGGAAGCTTTATCGTTTGTGATATTTTTTATACTCCTAACATGTTGTGCTTGGAGTATTTAGGTATTCAATTCATGCCTTCTACTTCTGCTTATAGTTTTAGAGCTGGGTTCATTAAAATTATTAAGATACTATTACTCCCACCTTATCTCTTTAAGAACTAAAATTCTCAAATATTATGTAAAATATGATGTCATATATAAGTGAAAAATAACAGTGATTTTTCTTTGATTTAGTCCTTCATAAAATTCACATTGGAACTATTGTATACAATTAAATATTGTGACCACAAAGTATTATCGGTAGATAGCTTATTTCTCCTGAACTTTTGCTATTTTTCTAAAACTATTTTTTCTACTGTCGTTGTACCAATTTTTTATTGATTATATATTTTTAATAGTTAGTAAAAAACACCTTTAAATGTTATTGTCAATTTTATACAATAAATCGTGTTGATTTAACTCTATAAACATTTTAACTTAAAGCAAAATAATTTAAATAACCATGAAATTAAGGAAATGTAAATAAGTGAATTAACGAAGACAGATATTGAAATAAAATATTATATACTTAAACATCGAATTTTATAAAAATGTCAAATATAAATATTTATATAAGTATAAATGTATGCACAAAATAATTATTTTTTTATTTGGTATTTTAGGATTTAAAGAACCATTAGCGACTTAATTCATAATATTTACCAGATTCTAGTTAATTTTATTTTTGATCGATATAATGATAAATTGCTATAGTTTGACGTTCAAAATCAGTAGTGAAATAAATAAAATCAAATGTAATATTACCTGGATGGTACAATCTTTTCGACAGCTGTTGAACTGTGTTTGACATTAGCGGTGGAACTATCATTGGTATTTTTTGAGCTAGATGTTTCAGACGTAATGGGCGTTCCAGGCTTTATATTGTCCGTTCTCATTCCCGTACTGTCGACCATCATTTGTCCGACGTTAAACTGTAAAATAAAAATAAAAAAAATGAAATTAAAGATCATATTTTGCGAATAATAGTCGATACGTGAATATATGGGAAATAAGTGGCGTCGGTTTGCCCAACACCACATTAAACCACGAAAGAAAACAATAAAATCGTCATTTCTACACTCGCCTGAGCCCCTATCGTCCTTTTGCATATCAAAACTTTCTAAGTGTGTGTGTGTGTGTGTGTGTGTGTGTATGTATACGTTATTATGGTTAGTGTACTCATGTCAAACATAACACATAAACACAACTTTTATACTTTATAATATATTATTACATAAACACCCTCACGATATAATTGTTACAACATACAATTGTTTTACTTAATCTCATTGTTTAGCTACAGTATCATATTTAAACAAATTTGGACTTGGTATATTATCATCTTCATTGTAATATAGATTATAAAGGATGATAGAATAATTGAAACTAATTTGGCAAACCTGGTGCTATTTTTACTTAAAAATATTGATGCGATTTAATTGAATAACCGCTTTGGGGAATAAAGAGAAAAGTGAATTTTCATTTTTTCATGTCAAATTATTTTAAAATGTATTTATGTTACGAATAATTTTATACATAAATATAAATTTTTTTACCACAATTCACCTTTTTAATACACAATATTAACAAAATCATCAGAAATTATATTTAAGAAAACATTTAAAAGTTGTTTTACTTATTATAATATGAATATTTTCAATATTTTGTAACATAAAATGTACAAAATCTAAACTCAAATAAAATATTTCAATTTTAAAAAAATAGTATAGAAATTGAGATAATATATCTAATTAAGAAAAATCACTTAAAATTAATATAATAATTATGATATACATGTAATGTGATGTATTTATCAATTTATTTAAAATTAGTTATAAAATTAGTATAAACATGCCCTCAAATTTTATATATATTCGTGATGTTCATAAAATTAAGAATTCGTGTTTTTCCATTTAATTAAATGAGTTATATTCATTTAGTACGGGTACAATTGATTATCTATTTTATTAAACCATGTCTTACAATAAATAAAAAATTATTATATTAATTTCATAAAAGTGACAAATAGGATATGTTTTATGAAAAAAAATCTAATTACGATAAAATATATGCATAGTAAATGGTTTATTTCAGTGATATCGGAACAAAGTTTTAGAATGTGTATGAAATGATAGTCATTTGTCGGCTGAACTGTGCCCTCGTAATTTTAACACATTTTTCGAAGTTTTGGAAATTATACCTTTGAACTTGTACGTAATAACTAGTGATTGGACTTTCAAAGTATTTCAGGAATGTAGTTTAATTACTAAATAGGGTTAAAATTCTAAGATATTAAGGAAATAAAAAATAAAATAACCACGTTTTTTGTTAATCGAATGTATATACAATGAACAATAAATTTTAGAATTATTTTATTTGTCGAATTTATATTAATGAAACTCCTCAACAAATCGATACGCATTTTTAAATTATTGGAAATGTTTCATTTATATTATTATTGTTATTATTATGAGTGTAATATATGTGAGTGCATGTCAAATGACAATTGATTGCAATCATATAAATGACCGACCAATAGAGACATTTTGAACAAATAATGGTTAACACGCTCGTTTCTGCTCCCCGGGGAGCCTGAATTCAACATTTATAAACATAGTGCGATGTCGACGTAGCGGGGAAAATTCGTTCTTCATTTTCTTTATCGCATTGCAGTTATATTTTTAACTACCAATCGGATCAGATGGATCCCTTAAGAACGTTAAAATATACGAAATCACTACAATACGCCTATGCAGACATGTACGAAACTCATCTCTTAGGCACGTCTCAAGTGTAGCCTTATAATGAGCACTCGATTCTTACGTACCGTGCAAGTTTCAACGACGGATTTTAATCCTCAGTCGCAGTAAAATTGTACATATTTATAACGGTAGAATATGTTTTATGGGAAGGTAAGCAAGCAGAATACAATTAATAGGTACTTAATGTAAAAATGTCCACATTTTATTTTATAAGTACACTTCAGATTATCTATGGTTTATAATTAAATTAATATTACTATTCCAGGGATAGATCAACAGTTCGATAACTATGGTACAGGCTATTTCAATAGGGCACTTATTAGGGTTGAAACTGGATTATAAACGTATACCTTTAACAACAAAACACAATATGATTATATAATATGTGTTTTTAAGTTTATTCACATTGATCATTGAAAATATTAACATTTTATTTATGGAGGATTCATCTTACATATGGTACATCATGCAAATGTTTTACTGTACTTTCACTGTATTATACAATGAAACTAGTGGCATAATTTGGTGGGTGGCAACTGAGGGATTTTTCTTAGTCTAGTATTAACTTCAACCTATATTCAGCACACTTATAAAATATAAGAAGTCTTCGAAAGGCTAATTTTGTCAACAAATATTTAGAGTGGGTCAACTGACTTTCTTAACCACCTCCCCCTTTCACCACTATATCCACCTCAGTGCTACTCGTATTCTATTTAAGTTAATGTTTCTTTTACATGACAACAAGCTAAAAGCATATTATGTGAGGTATAAATAACTATAAACTTTTGTAATATAATTACGAAATATTTACTAAAACCGTAATGCAAGATAATTAAATAATATAAAAATGTAACATATTAATATACAAAGTTATACCAAATTAAAAAATACTGTCTGAGGAGGCCTAGACAATATAATATATTAGTTGCAACAGTTTGTTACTGGGTATAAGTTTATCGAGATATGCTTTAAAGTCTAGTTTAATAGCGATTTATATTATACTGATTTAAACTAAAAACTCCAAATGAAGTAATAATACATTATTTTGTTTTGTTTCTTATTATTTTTCTCTAATCATTGTTTATGTTACGGTTTTTTAAACTCCAAGCATCGTTCCATACTTTTATTAAACAGCTATAAATGTTCTACTAAGGTGTTATATGATTAGTAAATATTTAAATGTATAAGATAAATTATTAATTAAAGCTTATGATAATTCAAAAATTTTATTTAGACGATCATTGAAGCGTAATTCATTCATAAGTTCTTATATTTCGTATGCACTATACTTTGTAAAATATATAATTCATATAGTTACATATATAAGTTGTTGAAAATATATAAAATCCATCTATATTTGATGACGATACAATTTACATGAAAACTAATAAATATCTAGCAGTAATCTGGTAATAACAATAAATATAGAAGAAAATAATAAAAGTCTATTCATATATATTGAAAGAGTAGATTTTCATATATACTTAAATTAAAGTTTATATAAATGTATTTTGATACAGTATCACTTGAACTATATATTAAATATTTCTATCCTCAAAATAATAAAAAAAAAATAAATTTCTTATCGATCACACAATATGATTATATTCAGCTCTAAAACTAAATGTACCTAGCTATGTTATATAAGCAATGTACAGTAGTTTACAAAATTAGTTAGATATTTTTATAAATACAAATTGATTTCGATTGAAAAAATCCGTCTGGTAAGATGGTTGTCAAGTATATGGGCTTCGGAAGCAATTTTTTTTTCCATTTTGTTAGTTATGTTATTTGTCTATATAAATTTGAAAACAATGATTTATCATGTTATTGAAAAAAACGAATTAAAATGAAGATCGGTGAAATACTAGGGTATTGAATATTTTATATAATATACAATTGGAATTCATTTTTTTATTTTTGTCGAAAATATAGAATCTACCTATATCGTATCATATACGTAATAAGTATATAGGATGAGAGAACAAAAACATAAGTAATTTAATTTGAGAAAGAAGTGATTGATGACATTTTCGAATTGATAAGAATCATAAATATTTTTATCTGCTTTTTTTAACTATTGTAATAAATTTCAACACCATTTAAGTTTTAAATGCTTTAAAGAAGCTACCTGGGATTGTGATAGTATATAAATAAAAATAAATATATTCGAAAATTACATGAACGTCATTAATCGTGCGTTGTACTGAGATTTCTGAATCTGACTTAACGAATTCACTGGATAAAGGAATAAAATATTTATTTTTTTTTTATTACTTTATCACACGATAGAATACTCATCCATTTTGCATATATACTTTATTTACGTTTTTTTTTTAGCCTGAGGTCGTTTTTGCCCAACCCGTGTATTATAATATAATTTATTTATTATTCATTTGGTGGACTTATATGCAAAAAATCGTATATTTACAAGCCTAGAGCAAAGCATGCATATGAATCTATGAAAACTTTACAACGTGAAAATACAATACGCTACAATTGCATTACGGAAAGTATGGTTTGCATCGAATTTTTGGATTCAGAAATGTTCACTGAAAACTTTTTATACTTAATATAATAATTGAATGAAAATCGATGACAATAAGTCCATAACTGAATTAAGTTTTAGCACTATAGGAATTCTTATAAAACAATTTTGTTTTTGTTTTTGAAGTCCTACTTTATATAAACAGTACAATAATTTTATTGCAATTTTAACAAAACTCTTTTTAATTTTAATATGTCTATATTACTAATGATATTATTAATAATTGCAATTTCCTTGTGATTTCTTTCATTATTGTACGTAATAATAATGGTATAACACAAGGAAGAATAATAGGTTTTAACACCACTTTATTTTTCAATAAAATGATTATTTTTAATTTATTAGTTTTATATGATTTATTAGTATTGAAACCAATTTCAATTCCCAGTACAAATGTATCTCAAAATGTCGATTTGTCTACAAATATGAATAGATCTTGTCAAGCTAGTATAATTGAATGCGATCATTCTAGAGATATCTAACAAATCATTATCAAAAGGTTTAACTCAAGTAGAATTTCCCAATTGTTTTTAGTTCTTTTAATCGAAATTCATAACCAACAATCAAGTGTACAGGATTATTATATATGTAATAAATACCAATCCATCTTTAAATTATACAA